TAGAAAGGAGTAGGCAATAAATATTTAAAGATTTGAAAAAAAAAGATTTGAAATTGCTGAATTTAGTTCAACTTATAATACCATATTTCCAAGAAAAATGAACGTTTTGTTCAAGAAATTTAAATAAAATCATACCAAGATACACAAAAATGAAATTGTCCAAAGCTTATTGTAAAGAAAAAATCATTAAAGCATATACATAAAAAATATTAGCTATGGAAGAACAAATTTTTTTTTCTTATTTAAAACTTTTTTTTCCAATTTCATTTAATTTTATTTTCATCTTGTGATGTCTTTTAAATAAATTGTAAGTCAAATATATAGTATAAATCTTAGAAAAAAAATTAAGATTAAGCAATATACAGAAAATTAAATACTAATAAAAATTAAATGTGTCAAAACAATTGAACTAAGAAAAAGTTTTCATGATAGCAAAGAAGTACTAAGAGTAAAACATAAGATAAATACTGGAATGGCAAATAAATGACCAGCACTTTTAACAGCTTGAGGATAGGATATAGCACAAAGTTCTAGTGTGTTGTGGACATGCATAATGACCATGACAGTTACTGGTGGCCAGGTGTCACTTGTGGGACAGCTATTTCTTTGAAATCCACTTTGTAGATTCAGATGGAATCATGACCCATAGGTGGAAGAGAAGTCCATTTGTAGTGTGCTGATGGAAATATTTTGCTGCTGTACACAAAAGGATAACTGAAAGACTACTATTGTATACCTCTTATTCTCCTGTGTTTGCTCTATTTGGCGGGTTCTTTCCATTCTCATTCATGGGGCTGTGATCAATTTGCTCCCTCTCTAGAACATCATTTAGTAGTCTGTGTAGGCTTGGCTTTGCCATCATGAAATTCTTTAGTTGTTCTTTGTTGTGGAAGTATTTCACCTCTCCATTATACTTGAAAGAAAGTTTTGCAGGGTATATCAGTCTTGGTTGGAATTTGTTTTCTTGCAAGACTTGAAGTATTTTGCTCCATGCTCTTCTTGCCTTCATGGTTTGTGAAGGGAAGTCTGCTATTATTCTGATGGGTTTTCCTTTAAATGTGATATTTTTCTTTTCTTCAGCGGCTTTTAGTATACTGTTCCTATGCTGAATTTCTGGGATCTTGATTATTATATGTCTGGGTGTGGTTTTAATTGGATTGATGTTATTTGGAGTTCTATATACTTCAGTTACCTGAATGTCAGATTGTTGCCCCATATTTGGGAAGTTTTCTGGTATTCTGCCCATATTCTTTTTATATCATTTGTATTGACTCCTTCCTTCTCATTGATGCCTATTAGTCTCACATTGTTCATCTTTGCATCGTCTTGCAGGTATTGAATTATTTTTTCCTGCATCCTAGTTGTTTTTTTTTTTTTTTTTTTTTTAATTTTTATTTATTTATTTAGTTAGTGTGTGTGGCCAGCTCAGCCCACCAGTGGGCAGGGCTGGCTGGCATGTGGTTTTGGGGGATTGAACTGCAGTCCCTGTGCTTTGATTAGCTAAGCTTGTTCTAAGTAGGTGTTTTAGACCACTGAGCCATCTCACCAGCCCCACATCCTAGTTGTTTCTAAGAGATCTTTTCTTACTTTTTCACTGACTGCAATGGTGTCTTTAAGATCAGAAAGTCTATTTTCACTTTCACGCAAACTGTTTTGCCAGCTTGTGATTGATGTTTTAATTTCCTGTATTTGAATCTGTTTTATACACTATTTCTTTCCTAAATTGTTTATTCAGGGGTTCCATCATTTTTATATTCTGCTGTATTTTTTTATCAGTGTTTCTTTAGAAGCACTTAATACTTCTTTGATTATAGTTCTCACTACATTTTTTAGTTCCAAAATTATTTCTGATCTGATTTCTTCTATACCTTTCTGCAGTTGTTTCTTTAATTCCAACGCTGTTATTTCAGAGATACCAGGTGAGTGATTTCCAGTTTCCTCTATGCTAGTGTCTTCTGCATTTGTACTGGGTGGACTTGGGGCCTGAGACTGCATTTTGTTCCTTCTCTTTTTCATTTTGTATACCACTGTCTTCTGACTTTTGGTGTAGAGCTTAGACAGAGTTATTACCTTAGCACCAGGTCCGGATCTATGAAGTTCAGATTCCTCCAGGTGGGTGTTACTTGGATCTGGCTGCGGTCTGGCTGCTGGGCTCTACCTTTATCTGCTGCAGCCATTGGAGTTGAACCCTTTGTGTCACTCTGCCAAGATGTTTTGCACCTGAATCAGCTGGGTGAGTCTTTCCTTTAGCCTCTTTGCAGGGAGTTCTGCTGAAGGGTTCCATGCTGAGCCTGCGCTCTGGGTCTAGTCAGGATCTGGCGGGCCCCAGGTTGTCACTCACACGCTAGGCCTGGGCTCTTCGTCTATTCAGGATCTGCGGGCCCTGGGCGGTCTCACTCACTGGACTGAATAAATTAAGAGAGGAAAAACATATGCCCTATTAATGGTAAAATAACTTAAAACACACATGCCGTATAAAGAAATTATATAGCACAAAAGAACAAAAAGCTTTTGTGTCTAAAATGTAGTTGAAAGTTTTAAGAAAGATGTTCTGAAATATTAAATGCCTTTGGTAATAGCTTGGTGTCCAGATAGTCTGCAGTTCTGTATCTGTGAGTGTAAAATAATGCAACATCTATTGTGCAGTAAATCCTGACCTGAACAAACATGAGACTATTTTTGAACTTTATCCTGCTTATTGTGATTATAGGGGGCTGTTTCATAGCTCCTTGGCATTTAATAATGTATAATATGTGCTATAATAATAATATAACTATGCATATAATTTTGTGCATATTTGCTATAATTGTGTATTAAATTCATTTTTTTCAGCATTTGAAGAGTTTTATATTGTGACATAAATCTGAAAGGATTGTGAATTTATATTCAGAATAATACTTTTAGGTAAAAAATAACAGCCTTAAATGTATTTCCTAGAAATCATAGTTTTGGATAACTAAGGGAATAACCAATTGTAAAACCGTCTTAGACTCTTCCTTATGTAATTCCCTGCTTACTTCATATTCCTTTGTCAGTTAGTTTTTGTTGCGTAGTGTGTTTCAGGTTTGCTTAAGGTGGACCTAAACCCAGCGTGCTGTAAAAGATTTTAGTGTTTTGGGCTGGGGTTATAGTTCTGCTGAGCAGCAGAGGACTTGTCCAGCAGTTGTAAGGCCTTGGGTTTGATTCCCAACACTGCCACAAAACAAATACAAATGTCTGGGATGTTTTGGAGACTGTTGGTTTTTCTCACTTCAACAGCTTTTCTGTGTGGAGTGGTGTGGCAGGCAGCATAACCTCTCACAAATGTAGTGGTACAGGAGAGAAAGAGCAGCAAGAGTTAGAAGGGGCGTTTACACATCTAAAAGCTGTGGTGCTGTAACGCATGTATTCAACAAATACTTGAGTGTGGTCTGAGATTGCTGGAGGTGATATATTGTAGGGTTAATAACTGGACTCCAAATCTAATTCTAATTGACATTTACTAGCATATTTCTCTAAAATGGAGAAAATTGTACCTACTTTGCCTTCTCAAGTTACTTCATTTTATCTTCACACTCTGGGTATAATTGAATGGTGTGGAGATAATAGGGAATAGGGCAGTCTCGCTCTATGCAGGAGAGATAAAATTAAAGTCCTAGTTTCAGATTAAAGATGAAAATTATAGATACATATATGAATAATTAAAAAATTAAAACTATATAGTATTATATATATTTATAGTTTTAATTTTTTTTTCAATTGAAAACTACTTAGGGGGCCGGGGAGATGGCTCAGTAGAATAAGTGCTTTCCTGGCAAGCACAAGAGCCTGAATTCAACTCCCGGTTCCACAGAAAAATAAATAAATAAATGAAATGAAATAAAAAATAAAATTAAAAGCATGGTTGGGGCTGGAGAGATGGCTCAGTAGAATAAGCACTTGCCTGGCAAGCGCAAGGGCCTGAGTTCAGAACTCATGCCCAGTTCTGCCAAAAATAAATAAATAATAATTTAAAAAAAAAATGACCTAGAATAGTTGCTGAATGAAAACTTTATGTGTTTGCTAACAGAAAAATACAGAATCAGAACTGGGGACAGCTCTAATATTACAATAGATTTAGTATTTAAATTCTCATTGTATTAGTATGTTTAATAAAGCTTAATGTATAAAAAATATATAAAGCATGAAGTTAGTGATTAGATAAACTCACATTACCTAAGGATTTTAAAGTAATAATAATACAGTTATCCTTCAGTATCTCTGGGTATTTCATTCAAAGATCCCCATTGAATACCGGAATGTTCATGTTCCTTATATAAGATGGCATAATATTTTTCATATCATTTATACATACTTTAGATCATTTCTCGATTATTTGAATATCTAACACAGTGTACATGCTATGTAAATATGTGTTAGTTTAGGAAATAATGCGAGAAACAATAGTTTGTACAAGTTTAGTAGAGACACAACTTTAAAGTTTTGCCTATTTTTGATCCATCGCTGATTGAATATATGAATGTGAATCTGTGGATATGCGGCACTGATTGTAATTGATAATGGCTACTGTTGCCTTTTCTGGCTTGGTCTACAAGCCAGAGTGGAGAGTGACCAAGTTAATTGGTAAAATTTTTAAGAATTTTAATGAAAGTATGAAAACTAGAAGAAATGTTACCAACCATTGCTTTATTCTCACCCGACATTTTAAGTCCTTTTTGCTTGGCGGAGACCCAGTTCCCTGAGCCTATTCCAAGGCCCTAGGTGCTGAGACTGCTACTTCTGAGTGCTCGGATGGGTCTTACAAGTGGAATATTACTGAGAGTCTGCATACAGATAGGCCAAACTCAGATTGTCTTTTTTTAAAAAGCCTTTCTAGTTTCATTTGTTCCATTTGAAACTTGAACCTAGCCTGAATTTATTTTGGTTTAAAACATAACTTTTTTTTTGCATCAAACATTATGTTTGATTACTACTTGTGACTATTCAACTGATGAAAAAGTGACAGGTTCCAGACAGAGGAACTAAATTAGTAAAGAAAAGCCTTTTAAGTCTCATTATTCTTTCTGAAGTGCTATGAAGGGACTATTTTTAAAAAAACAAATTACAAATTTTGTTTGTTCATTTATTTTGTGGCAGTGCTCGGCACTAAACCTTGCGTGTGATATGGGAGGCATTCTGTTGCTGAGTGGCACCCCCAACCCAGATTTTACGAATGTATAATTTCATGCAGTAAGATACATGAAATTTGTTTTAAAATGTGTATACAACCATATAACTTAACTCCACAGACCGTTTCTCACATTATACAAAGTCTCCCAAGACCCTTTGTAGGCAGCTGCCTAGGCTCATTTGTCTGAGTTTCAGATCAGATGTTCTGACTTCTGGGTGCTAGTTTCTGGTTGAAAGTTTCTTTTCTCTGTATTTTTAGGTTATATAGTTTTCCTACTATAGTCATACACTTACTGCTCATTTTTTATGGTTTGACGTATAAACATAGCATCATCATTTATCCTGAAGCCTTGGTATTGTCTGTCCTATTCTTTCTCTTGACTTATGGCATCTAATAAGTCATCAGATTTTCCCCCCCTTTGGTACCAGGGATTGAACTCAGGACCCTGTGCTCGGATGGGTCTTACAAGTGGAAGGCAAGCACTTATTCTACTAAGCTATTTCCCCGACCCCAATCATCAGGTTCTTGCATAACCTTTATAACATCTCTAGGTCCTTACCTCCTGGTGTTACCAGGAGAAGTATCTTGTTCATTAAAATATATCATTCATTTTTTTGGTGTTTGGTTAGACTACATAACTTTGTTTTAATAACAGAATATTTTTATTAAGATAGAATCCATGATTGTATGTAGTGGATGCATTATTCTCTGTGCTTTATGCAGACTGGGTAAGTCTTTGCTAATACTTTGCCTGTCTTTTTAATTATAGGAATTTTGTTATTTAAGTGTTTTCTTTTTCTTTTCTAGGACTTTACCAGATTTCTCAGAACAAAGTAGCAGTTCTTCTACTAGCTGGTGGGCAGGGAACAAGACTTGGAGTTGCGTATCCCAAGGGGATGTATGATGTTGGCTTACCATCCCATAAGACACTTTTTCAGATTCAGGCAGAACGTATCCTGAAGCTACAACTGTTAGCTGAAAAATATTATGGCAACAAATGCATCATTCCATGGTAAGATATGTTTCTTTGGAGTGTCTGAATAAGTAGTTTTATAATATTCAAAATTGGAAAAAAAAAAAAAAAAAAAAGAGGCTCAGTGGCATAAGCACCTGCCTGGCAAGTGCAAGGTCCTGAGTTCCATCCTTGGTACCATTAAAAAAAAAACTGATATGTAACTTATTTATAAGCAGACTCATTTTCTGTTTCTGAAAACTGTTGGGAGATGTAATTTTCTATATGTTAATAGTGATACATAAGATAGATGACCTCTATGGCCTTAATGAGCAATATATACTTACTTTTGTTTTTAATTTGAGTACCTTTAGAAGCATCTTTTTACTTTAGACACAGTTTAAATTGCACACTGGTTGATACTTTGTTTAGGTATGAAATTTCTTACTGAAAATCACTTTCCTTCTACTTGAAGGCATTGCTGTGTTTCAAGCATTGCCGTTGAGATGTCTAATGTTATTCTAATTTCTAGTCACTTTTGTTTTCCTCTTTAAAAAATTTAAGGCCTCTTCTTACCTTTAGTATATAATTTCATCATGATACAGTATGGGTCTATTTTCAGCCACTGCTGTGGGAACTGATTGGGTTCTCAGTCTCAGACAGTGATAGCACACCTTTTAGAAGCCAGGTGCCCAGATGGTTCATGATGTCGTTGCCAGGCACTGCTGCTCCTTGTCAAGCATGCACATGGCCCCTATGTATGCTGTTTTTCGATGTTTGGCTGCTGGGGTGACTTGGCTTGTGTGCCAGCAGAGGGGATTCTGTGTGTCCGCTGCAGCACCCATGCCATAAGCTCACTGCCACTGGTCTGGAAGCACACATCAAGTACTAGGCTATCTAGTCCCTCCCGCCCTTCAGTTCTTGCACGCACACACCAGGAGAAAGCTGCATTGATTTCTCTCCTGTGCTTTAAACTTTTGTTCTTAGCTTCTATAGGGTACTGTATTCTTAGTGCCTTTACCTTGGTGTTTATCTCCCAGGCACCCAGAGAATACAGGCATTTTTTTTACTTTTAGACATGTTTCATTTAACTCCATAATCACTTTCCCAGATCAGCTTTGGAAGTTGGCATGCTTTGAGGGGAAACCAGCTGTGCATTTGACATTTCTTGGGTCCCTGTCTTGTCATTTCAGTCCCATATAACCAATGAAAGGCCTGCTGGCTTCTCTTCTGCAGATTCTCAACCAGTTGCTTGAACCCCAAATTGGCAGATACCCTCAGGACAATGCAGCTGGATGTCTTTAATTTCCCTTTGAAAGGTTCTCCTTCTCTAGGTCTTTAGTTCCGTGTGTGTTGTTTCTATAACTCTCTGATTCCTTTGAAAACTTTTTTTCTTTTTGTAATTTTTCCAACTTTTTTTGGACCAACTTTTCCCAGCTTATCTAGTTTCTCTCTATGATAGTTCTGGCCTGCTATGAACATTTTTTACTCCCTAGTTTTTGAAGGACATGTATTTTAAGTGGCCAACATCTTCTTAAGTTCTGGTGCCCTACTATCATTTTGGATTTTTCTTTTCTCTTTCTCCCATTTTGTTCTTGTATTACACAGAGTGTTGAGCCACCTCTTTTGTCATCTTCTAAGTCATTTTTTTGCTTTTGTTTTTTTACTGAAGTTCAAAAATACCCAGAATCATTTGTTAGATAAATATTGATATAGTTGGAATCAGATGTTTTATTCATTCATTCAACAAATCCTGTTTGCACCTAAGTGCCTGGGAATTAATCAGTTGCCACAAAAGAGAACAAGCCCTACTGATAGGTAATTTATATTCCAGTCCAAAAACTATTACAGTTTTAGGTAGAATTTTTTTCTTCACTGGCATGAACTGAACTTTTGTAACAACAGTATGTATAATTATAGTTTGAAGATGACAAACTAGATTCCATTGCAAATTTTAGTAAAAAGAACCACGAGAGACAATCAGACTGCATTAAGTTATCCTTTCTATTTATTTGAAATTGAAGTGATAAATTTAACATACACTCTCACATTGTAAATGTTTACTGAAGCTGGTCAGATTTTCTGCTGCATGAAATGTGTTTAGTACTTTTAAGCAGTTTTATTTTGTACACAAAGATTGATAAAATTGGTGGAAATTCTTTTCGCATTGCAGCTAGTTTCTGTGTCTTACCCAGGAGAAAGACAAAAGATGTCAGAATAAGAAGCAAGTGCTTTCACGTATTTTCTTTAAATTAGGAAATAGGGGCTGGAGAGATGGCTCAGTGGTCTAAAGCACCTACTTAGAACAAGGTTGGCAAAGCACAGGGACCGCGGTTCGATCCCCCAGCACCACATGCCAGCCAGCCGCGCCCCCTGGTGGGTTGAGCTGGCCACACACACACACTCTAAATAAATGTTAAAAAAATTTTTAAATAAATAAATAAATTAGGAAATAGATAAAACTTTGTTTATCTACTTTGTATAGCATGCTACTGCTTAGAAAAATGTTCTGTTTTCTCTTGTAAGGTATATAATGACCAGTGGCAGAACAATGGAAGCAACACAGGAGTTCTTCACAAAGCACAAGTACTTTGGTTTAAAAAAAGAGAATGTAATTTTTTTTCAGCAGGGAATGCTACCTGCTATGAGTTTTGATGGGAAAATTATTTTGGAAGAGAAGAACAAAGTTTCTATGGCCCCAGGTTTGTAATTTTTATTTAATGGTTGACTAGAAATGAAGATAAACATAAAACATTAGGTCTTGATTTTCTTTTTAAGGTGGTGATTTGAATGTTGAGAAATCAGTATGTTCAGTTTTTGTTTTGCAATTTAACAATTTAAAAAATTGGAAATTTCCATTGGTGGAATGGACACAATTTTACCTTTTAAGGCTGTCTTCCTGAAAGAGCAATTTGAACAGCATGTAGCAATTTGAGCGGTATTCATATTGTGTATCCAGTATTTTACATATTCAGCAAAGTTGATAGCTACGTTATTTATTGTAATGAAAAGATGGGAACATCTGCTGCCTGATAAATAAGAGACTAAATCATAATTTATAAGTGGAATATATATTTAAGTAATATTAAAATAATTGGTTAGACACATTAAGTGACAAAGAGAAATTATTTTGATTAGTTAAGAGAATACAAATATAGAACTAAATACACAGTGTGATTAGGGTAACTGCTTTCCAGTTTCAGGTAGCGTGTGCCCATTGTAGTTTGTTAATGGCATCCATTAGAACTGGGCAGTGTATGGCTAGTGTAGCATCATGAGTCTGATTCCAGGTATAAAAATAGATCTATGACATTTTTTTTTTTTAAATCTATGACATTCACAACTATGTGATCTTATGTAGAGAAAAGGCAGAAAGGTACTAAACAATCATATGAACAGTGGTGCTCTTCAGGTGCAGGCTTTTATTTGCCTTAATTCCTTTTTTAAAAAATTAAATCTTAATTCATTTTAATCAGTGGAAGAGTTTATTATTCTTAGATTTATTTTGGGAAGTTGTCTAATTTTTTTTCATCATTTAAGCAGTGACCAAGATTATTGATGGGAGAATTATATTAATGTAGATGGGAAAAGGAACTTTGACTTGCATTTATCTTAAATCACCATAGACCATCAAACTAAATTTGTGTCTTAGGAAATAGTTGGGTATGAAATGTTCATATATTTTTATGTGTGAGATGGATAAAATGATCAATGTTGAAGCTATAAATGTAGAGCTTTTTTTTAAAAAGGTATTTAGTACAAGGTCTCACTACGTAGATTGGACTTACAGTGATCCTCCTGTTTTTTTCAGCTACCTAAACTCTGGGATTATACATATACCACATGCCCAATCTCAGTCAATGTCTCAGCACGCCCCAGGGGCAGGACCAGCAGGATATGCCAGAGACTGAACCCTGGTCCCTGCATCTGCCTAAGTAGGCTGTTTAATCCGCTGAGCTATCTGATTGACCTACAGAGCTATTTTGAGTCATACAGATATTTAAAAAACTGCTGCACATGCTGATGCATGCTTATAATCACTTGAGAGACTGAGGCAGGAGGATCGCTGGGAGTTCAAGACCAGCCTGGGCTACTAAGTGAGCTCAAGGGCAGCCTGAATTGCATAGTGAGACCCTATCTCAAAAAGGTAAAATAAACAAACAAACTTGAAATGTTATGAAAAATTGTTGGCTCATAAAGAGTTTTATGTTGCACACTGTATGTATTGTAGGCTAAATTATTAAAAAGAATTAAATTGTAAAGAAATATAGTCTTTGGGGTTACCTGGTTTTGTATTGCTAATGTTTCTCTATGGATGCTTCATATTAAATAGCCTTCAAAATCATGTACAATGACTTTTGACAACTGAATTCTTTCCTATAGGTATTCAGTTTTCTTAGCTTTTAATATGAAACTGTTTTTCAGAGATCCCCATCTCACTTTGGAAGTAATGAACAGTGTTGTTGTTGTCTTCATACTGATTTTTTTTTTTTTTTTTTT